ATCTTTCACCCACATGCTCACATTTTTCTAATTTTTGAGGAAAAACTTTTCTAGACAACTTTTTAATTTAATTTTATTTATTATTATTTTTTTGGTAATTGAAACAATTTTTATGCCCAATCATAATAAATTCTATCCATTTAATGGACAATTTTCATGAAAAAGAAAGTCAAACAACCACTAAAACATCCAAAATTTCAATATTTTTTGTGTGGAAAATTATATCAATCAAACACAATTAATTGACAATTCCTAATAAAACAAGTTCCAGATAATTCAATTCCCTGTAATTCATTTTCTTTCCACTCAAATTTCATTCTTGCAATCAAACAGACCCTATGCAAATTGAAATATTTAATAGATGACAAACGTACTAGAGCCCTGAATTTCCATGTAATAATCATTTTTAACATTAGTTCTACACTTTGATAATACGATTGAATTTTGACGAATCAATGTTCCTATTTTATTTAACAATCTATCTCGAGTAATGTTAAATATACTTTTATATATGATCTGACTATATTTCTATAACGAATGCGAACATATAAAACCGTATGAATTTTTATGAACACTTAAATATCCACATAGAGTATAGTAGTTCTATCCCCCAATCGGACCATATAACAATTTATATATGTCGAACCTATTTTCCTTTTTTTGAATGCATAAAAAAGGCCATCACATTTACACAACTACCGTGTACAATAATTGTAAAGAAAATAAAATCATATAAATAATTCAATATCCAAAACATGTTTTTAATGTTAAGTATGTAAAACTAAAGATTAAAAATTCATATTACAATGTTCATCGTTTTCCTGGTACAAATAAATCTAGTCCAACATGTTATGAAGAAGAAAACAAAAGATATAACAGTTGTTCATCACCCGAAAATTCTTGAATTCAATCTTCAAGTTCTTTTAAATTGAATCTTGATGTGTTCTTTACCTCATTTTGTAATTAATTCTCCACGCCCTAATTATGTTTTGAGAATTAGTGCCAAAAGATTTTCAAAAATCGCGCATATCATGGCCCAAACGGGAGTTTCCTTGCTAGAATTGAATTATGAAGGAAACAAAATTTTTTAACAGAATTGGCTTGGGCGGGCTCCTAGCAATAAACGGGGCGGCTACCCAGGCATATTAAATAACCCTTGTAATTAAGGTTAAGGGCCGGATGACCGTCTGACCTATATAATTGGACGGCTGCTCGGTTATAAAAATTTCTCGAATTTTCCTTTTAGCCATTTTCTTCATTCTTTATTCCATTTTAATCCTCCACATAAAATTACTTCGATTTTAGTACTTCAACTTTTACTCAAATGTCCACAAGCTTCCATCTATTAGTCAAATGATCATTCTTTCTTTTTCAATTATTTAGAAACGGGTCCAAAATTGTAATAGAATAAAATAAATCCAAGTTAAGTAAAATTCAATACTAAAACGACACAAAAACTTAGTAATATGACCTGAATAAGTGAACAAAAATACATTTATCATGCTGCAGCGAAAGAATGTATTTGGCTATGCTTATAAGTAGCTCATAAAAATCTTTTCAGGAAAATAGCAGCACAGATCTCCAACTTGAATTCAGCCTTCACTGATATTAAAGGGGCAATATACATTATCACCTTCACTATATTCAATATAACGAGTACAACATTCTTCACTAGATAATACTAAAGATTCACCCAATCATCGAGAATTCTGCAAATCTTAATGCTTCAATAATAGATCTTTGCCTATCAAAAGAGGGATCCACAAAAGCAAACAACGAGAATTTATCCAAGCACAAAATAAATGTACACAACTAACACAATCTTAACAACTACTCAAAACAACAAATAAAAGACTAATCAAAATTTGGCATTGTTCAGATAGTGATTCCTCACGAATGAACTATTTGTAGTCAATCTTGACAGTTGAATTTGAAGGGCAATGAGTTGTGAATGTGAAACTATTATCCAAATGTGAGGATAACTAGACCAAAGAACATTGAAATATCAATGATTGGTCAAAGTTGCGCAAGCTGCCTAGATTGTGCAATTTCCCAATCAGATTTTTGTTCACTATTTGTGGCCGAATTGAATTTTCTCTTACATGCACTCACAAGTAAATATGCTCCTCAATACATCCAATATTTATTTGATGGCTTCAAATTAAAGTCCTACTGAGACTCTCCTTATTTATCTTTTGCAAATTTCCGCCACAAGCAAAAAACATTGTCCACTTTTGCCATATTTGGTGATTTAGAGTTTCAGTTGAAATTGCAACTTTGATTCTTTATTCTAATCACAATTGCTATAGGGTCCTTTTATTAAATTATTTGTTGAGGTTGGACCCTAATCCAGCTCATGACATGGGGTGAATACACAACACTTAGTTCTCTACTTCAATATGCATACGTTAACAAATCGAATAAGAGACTTAAGAACAATAACATTTTGTTCTATCAGGGCAACTAGCTCCATTAATAAAAATCACAATCTTTAATACGCCCTTCAAGCATCTTCACCAAGACAAAACTAGAAAATTTAGCACGATTATCTCCACTTCTACATGCAAATATATACATATCCATGAAGACCCAATTTTGTCAAGCATTGAGAATTATCTGAAACTTTTATGGCCTATTGACAATTATAAATGCCCATCACATGTGATGAACATCATTCTCCCTAACAACTAAGCCCCTGTTTGGCTCCCATTATTTTGGATTTTTGGGGGGTTGAAAATTTTTAGAATAGTGATTGATGGAAGAATGTGTGGTTGAAGATTTTTTGATTTGTATGTAATATTATTTTGAGCTTGTTTGGGAGGGTTTTTTTGGGGGAAGAATTGATTTTGAATAGCGATGGGAAATGTGTGGTTGAGAAAGATTCAGCCTTCACTGATATTAAAGGGTAATATACATTATCACCTTCACTATATTCAATATAATGAGTACAACATTCTTCACTAGATAATACTAAAGATTCACCCAATCATCGAGAATTCTACAATTCTTAGCCCCTGTTTGGTGCACATTTTGTCCTCATTTTTAGAAGAAAATTGACCATTGCAAACAAAATGACGCCATTTCATCTTACACAAATTTGACTATTAACTGTACCAATTCCAGTCTTTTGATTTTACATTTTCACAATTGCCCTTTTCCAATCAATAGTTGTCAAATGGACAAAAATGCACAAAGAACAAAACAAGGGCAAAAAGGGAAAAATTGCCACAAATATCAAAAAGTAATACCACACGTGTCATACAAGGTGGCCAACTTGATGTGATATTAAAATGCATTTTGGGAGGAAAAATGGTGTCCAAACAGACGCTTGACACAACAATAATAAATCTTTGCCTATCAAAAGAGGGATCCACAAAAGCAAACGACGAGAATTTATCCAAACACAAAATAAAGGTTCACAACTACCTCAAATCTTAACAACTACTCAAAACAACAAATAAAAGACTAATCAAATTTTGGCATTGTTCAGATAGCGATTCCTCACGAATGAACTATTGGTAGTCAATCTTGACAGTTGAATTTGAAGAGCAATGAGTTGTGAATGTGAAACTACTATCCAAATTTGAGGATAACTAGACCAAAGAACATTGAAATATCAATGATTGGTCAAAGTTGAGCAAGCTGCCTATATTGTGCAATTTTCCCATCGGATTTTTGTTCACTATTTGTGGCTGAATTGAATTTTCTCTTACATGCACTCACATGTAAATATGCCCTCAATTCATCCAATATTTATTTGATGGCTTCAAATTAAAGTCCTACCGGGACTCTCCTTATTTATCTTTTGCCAATTTCCGCCCCAAGCAAAAAACATTGTCCACTTTTGCCATATTTGGTGATTTACAGTTTCAGTTGAAATTGCAACTTTGATTCCTTATTCTAATCACAATTGCTATAGGGTCCTTTTATTAAATTATTTGTTGAGGTTGGACCCTAATCCAGCTCATGACATGGGGTGAATACACAACACTTAGTTCCCTAGTTACTTCAATATGCATACGTTAACAAATCGAATAAGAGACTTGAGAACAATAACATTTTGTTCTATCAGGGCAACTAGCTCCATTAATAAAAATCCCAATTTTTAATACGCCGTTCAAGCATCTTCACCAAGACAAATCTAGAAAATTTAGCATCATTATCTCTACTTCTACATACAAAGATATACATATCCATCAAGACCCAATTTTGCCAAGAATTCTCCACAACTTTTATGGCCTATTGACAATTCTAAATGTCCATCACAATTCACATGTGATGAAATCATTCTCCCTAACAACTAAATTTTGTTGTGAACATCATTCTCCTGGAAAAGATAAAAAATGCTATAATTAAAAACTCATAGAAAGGCCAATTTTTATCAAATATTTGCACTTTCCCCACCTAAGATTTCTCAATGGACAAACCACTAAACCTAATACTCTTTTCCAGCCAACCAAGCACCAAGAATTTATATTTTTTACCAACGCAATTTATATTCCAGGCTTTTAAAGATTTTCAACTTGAGAACTACTCTAAGAAAAGCTCCTTCTACATGAGGTTAAACCTTTGAAACAAAAGATAACTCAAGAAAAAATAAAGATGTAAAGAGGAGACGAAAAAACAAAACAAAGATCAAACAAGCTAATATTAGACACCCCAAAAAATTAGTTAGAAGCTTTCGCTCAATCACAGCTAAATGAAAATCATCAAAATACATCAAATTGAGTATAAGTTTGCAAAAATAAACAAATTGAACAAATAATTCGAGTCCAAAACAATTTCAAAATAGCCCAAGAATCTTTCAGATTTCAACCCATCACAAAAAAAGGAGAAGAAACAAAATATTAAAAATAGTAGTCAGCTAATTCATCATTAATAAATCATAAAACTGCAGTATATATGTCAAAGAGGCCAAATAAATGGGTATTGAAGTTTTACTTCTTCGGGTACGTTTCTTGTAGAGGATACGATAACCGCACTCACGGCATTGAATCACGTCGCCTGGCTTCAACGTGTTCTCTTGGCCGCAATCTGCAAAATTATTTTAACATTATTCAATCAGCTAAAATTACACATTCAACTGTGTATCCATCCACGTATGTTAAGAAGTACCTCCACAGATGTAGCTTACTGGTTCAGGTTGAGGATCCATTGTTAGAGGTCAGGCACTACCGAATACCAGGGTATATTCTAGGTTAAAGGTTGTCGTCTGGTCGTAAGTTGAGCGTCAACAGCTAAAGAATGTATTTGGCTATGCTTATAAGCAGCTAATAAAAATCTTTTCAGGAATATAGCAGCACAGATCTCCAACTTGAACTTGTGTTGCAACTTGGCCCTCGATCTCCTAATCGTAGCATTACACCTTTAATCTTTCAATTTAGCATTTAGGTCCTTGAACAATTTTACCCTTGTTTTCTAGCAAAGCTAAATTTGATTGAAAAGGCGTTATAGCCCTTCTTCCTAGATAAGCAAAAAATTAAATAAGAAACAAGAAAAAAAGGAAAATGAAATTCTTCTTCTCCTCCTCCTCCGTCTGCATTCCAACCTTCCCCACCTCCAAGGATAAGCGGTATGTGCTTTCGCAATTTTGTTATTTTTTTTATGTAGAAATTGTCGTTCTTTAGAGAGATCTCTAAGGCAATATCAAAAGCAATTTTTTTTTTCAATAATACGTACATTTTAACATAATTAGACAATAAAACTTATCATTGACCTTTTTCCCTATCTACGTTGGATGCATTATTTTTTCGTGGTTATCATAGTTGTGGACGAAGGGACGTAATTGAAACAAAATAGAAATTCAGCTGACCAAATTTGCAAAAAAAAAAAAAATGATGAAACTGAAACTTTGCCTATTCAAACAATAGTGGGTCTCGCTGCTTTTAAGCCAATTAAACCTCCGTTTGGAAAGAATTTATAAATAGACATAAACGAGTGACATATAAGTAGATAGTACTTGTGGATATACTGAAATTTGTGTTTAAAATGAAGTTTGATAATTTATAAATTTTGGTTGAGAATTACCCACTTATTTGGCTTGTAAGCTAACTTATAGATTTGATTCGCATAGTTTGTGGGTCTCCAACTTATAAGATGACAATTTTTTTTATCGAACTTTCTCTAATTGTTTTTTACTTAGCTCCCCGTTTGAATATGCTAAAAAACTAATTAAAATCTAAGTCATCGACAATTAATTTTAAACTCCTATTTTATGGGATTTCAACCATATATTTTATTAAAATCTATAATAAATCTTTATCATAAAGATTTATATATTGAGCTTCTCAAGAAATTAGTCCAATATCACCCTTCTTTCTAGATTTACCATGTTGTCGGTTCACTTGCTGATTCCTTCGGCCATTCGCACGAGTTCTTAGTGGAAGTTACTGGAAATTTCGCTGCTTGCATAATTGCAACAAAACTAGAAATCAACAGAAATACTCAATTCACCCCTTATAAAAAGATGGCGGTGAAGATGCATGCGTGAACATTTTTCTCCGGAAAAATGCAAAGAAATGGAAAAGAGATCATGCTAATCCATGTACTCTTTACTTATTTATCCTATCTGGTTATGCTAAAGTAGCACATTTCAAATAGAATTTGATCTGTGCTTTATTCATAATCTTTTTCGAAAATTTCTCACTCGAAAGGAGAGACTTGGCGGTATCCATCCCGGTCGAGAGCTTTGCTGAGAGACGACGAAAGGTTTGATGCATAAGCCTTTTCCTCATCGATTGTATCCAACATTTTGATAACGGGACGCCGTCTTGTTGAGATGAACTTCGGGGGAGCAACTTCTGTTATGAACCTCAGTTTCTGAATTTTCGCCATTGGAAAGTTACAGAATTGAAGATTGGAATGTGAAAAAGGGAAGATATTTTGTTGCAAAGATAGAGTAAAAGTCTGCTAAATTTATAGGGAGGAGGAGGAGAAGTCACGTTCAACGTAACCTGCTTCATACGTTGTTGCTTTTGTACATTGAACTGTTCTGCCGCCTCCTACATTTTTGTTTTAACTTTTTGCATTAACTGCACATTTACGCGGCGATATCATCTAACGGAAGCTATAGAAGAGCTGGGTCAAGTCTCATCATCTTTGTGTAAAGTCGTAGAGTTTAATTATTATTGTCGTGCAAAATCAGTACATGAACCAAAATTCATTAGGATATTTAATGGATTTCACACTTACAATTTCGATTTTACCCTAATTTATCTTATAAATAGGGAACTTTCATTAGGGTTTTGAATAACCATAAAAAAGAGAGATGTTAGAGAAGATAAGACTTACGATTTTCTTTTGTAAACTTTTTTTATCGTGGTGAATTACTGCACATTGAGATGAACCTCTATAGATTTTGCGTGTTTCTGTATCTATTTTCTCTGTGTAATTTTATTGCTCTTGATGGTGAAATGAAGTCAATTGCCAACAAAAGAAGCCATAGGACCATTAAGAGATGTGGTCACAATCTACAACTTATCCAATTGAGGGGACCAATCCTTGTTTGGTTGTTATTCCATAACAAGAGTTTTTTTGTTCTTAATATAGTAGTTTTCGAAAAACAAAAAAAAAATCGAGGCCGTCCTCGATACAGTTTTCAAGAAATTGACACATGTACTATGAACAAAAGTTGTGGTGTAAGGATAGACACGATCCGACTCAATTTGTCATATAAAATAATTAGACGAACTTTACTATAACTCATGTTTTTCAGTTAGAAGCAAAATTTGAACAGTTTGAATCTGTCTCGTTTGACGTTATTAGATTTTATTTTTATTTATTTATTTATTTTGCAGCTCAAGACTTAAAAATTAGGCTATAAAATTTATAATGTGAATTATAATTAGATTGCAAATCAATATGTCCACTTATTTGCATTTAGTGTTGAATTTTCTTTTCGTTCCCTGATGCTGTAGGCATTACATCAGGATTTCTAAAGATGACGTAAGATAAAAACCCAGCACAATGTGGATTTCTTAAACCCTAAAATACTTTTAATGAATATTCTACAACTAACCGTAGAAAATTTCATATTTTCAATCACAAAGGCATTTTAGGTAATATTAATCTCATTTTTGATAATTAGTCAATGTTGAACGTGCGTTGCATGTTATTATGAAATACTTTAAAAGTGCTATAAAAGTAATATTTGAATATGCGTGAATGTTAATTAATTTAAAATTAATATCACGAAATATATACTGACAATGAATATTAAATTATTTATTCAATTTAAAATTAAGTAAAATCGAATATTAATTATCATACATGGACGTGAATAATAAAATGCATTTTTGAATGTGAAATTTTGATTAACTTATAATTAAAATTAATAACATAAAAATGCATAAATGAAGATGTATATTAATTCAATAAATGTGAATGTTAATTAATTGAAAATTAATAATAGGAAATTCATATATTAATGAATGTACACATGTGAAATGCATATATCAAATGTACAAGTACATTTATGGTAACTAAATGTTTAAATAAGTTAAATACATATTGAAAAATGAAAAGTAAAATATTATTGAAATAATTGAATTATAGTAGGGTTAAAATAGTCTAAATTTTTTTTCTCACTTTATGTGATATTTAATTCCAATTAAGTGAAATTGAATGTTAATTAACATATATGGACGTGACTAATGAAATACATTATTGAATGTGAAATTCTAATTAATTTATAATTAGAATTAATAACTGAAATGCTTAAATTAAGATGAGTATTAATTAAATAAATGTTAATATTAATTAATTAAGAATTAACAATAGGAAATTTATACAATAATGAAAGCACACAGGTGAAATAAATTTGTCAAATGTATATGTACACTGACGGTAACTAAATGGTTAAAGAAATTAAATACATATTGAAAAACGAAAAGTAAAGTATTATTGAAATAATTGAATTATAGTAGGACTAGAATTGTTCAAAAAATGATTCTCACTTGATATAATATTTAATATATTATAGATATATGCCAAAAGAGGCTCTTCTCACCGGGTTTTAAACCTAGCCAAACATGACCTACATTGTTCTATTCCATCCAATCTGTAGATACTCGCTTAAACTATATCGTCTAAAAATTTAAACTAAACTAAAAACATCATTGGAAAACAATAATGGGCAAAAATGTTCAGTTCTGAATGAATGGGGTAGTTATGATAAGCCTATTTATTACAGATTATCTGGCAGGGCAGGCTCCCAAGAGATGAGAGTTTCTGGTGCATTATCCAACAAGGAAGAAAAATAAACTTGTGACAGCCCTTCTCTTCTAATGACACCCTACAGCTGCATAAAACCTGGAAAATGAAAATCAATCACCCAAAAATAACGAATTACCTATACATCGTGCTTCTTAAGATAGTGTTGATAATACTCGACAGTATTAAAGAAGTAATAGAAAGTAAAATTCGTTGTGCTGTCATATGAACTTCGTCCATTGAACTTACTGTCATGGCTGGTTCAGTTCATATGAGCTCATAGACATAGTCGCGTAGATATATAGAGAAACGACCAACATTTAAGAGGACAGAGAACATATTGTACCTTTACAGAAATCATCTTCCTCTAAGGGAGTTTCTGATGTTGGAGACGACAATGAATCACTCGCTGACTCTCTGGCATCAATCAGCATTGCAATAACTTCGCGCATGGTAGGCCTGTTGAGTGGGGATGTGTTGGTGCAGAACAATGCGATTTTGAGTACTAAAGACATTTCTCTGATTGTCCTTTCCTCTTTAAGATCAATCCGTTGATCATATATGTCAGATTTTACTAATTTAGAAATTGAACTTCTCGTCCAGGTTACTAGGTCGCCTCCATGATCAAGAGGTTGGACAGGCGACCTTCCAGTAATCAGTTCTAACAAAACTACCCCGAAACTATAGACATCACATTTCTCTGTCACTTTCATCGTGTAAGCATACTCTGAAACGAGAAAAACGAACATCAATTAATCATAATAATTTTTCAGATAGTTGTCAAATAGTGAAAGAAAGCTGTTATTCTTACCAGGGGCAATGTAGCCATATGAACCAGCAACAGCAGACATTGATATTGAGAAGGGGAAGTCAATCAACTTTGCCAAGCCAAAATCTCCAACATGTGCCTCAAAATATTCATCTAGCAAAATGTTGTTTGATTTTATGTCGCGATGAATGATTTGAGGTTTACAGTCATTGTGAAGATAGCATAACCCCTCTGCAGCACCAAGGGCAATTTTATATCGAGCACTCCAATCGAGCATACAATCTGTCTCCTTCCCATTAAGTAATTCTCCCAGACTTCCATTCGCCATGTATTCATATAGGATAAGATTGCTGTCCTGATGGTAGCAAAATCCATGGAGTTTCACAATATTTTTGTGCCTAATCTTTCCCAAAGTCGAAATTTCAGCACAAAAACTGTTGTCTGAGCTGGCTCCTTCTCCTCTGGATTTCAACTTTTTAACTGCAATCACTTCACCATTGGTCATTACAGCCTTGTAGACAGTTCCACAGGCTCCCCGTCCTACGACAGCACTGTCTGAAAAATTCCCAGTGGCTTCAACAAGGTCCATATACGTGAAATCTTCTTTAGGAAAGTAATAGCCATCCAATACATCAGGTTTCGGTTGATCTTCAAGTGAAACGAAAGAAGGTTTACGGTGCCTTATAGCCCAACAAACACACACAATAAAAGTTAAAGAGATCAGGCCGATAGTAAGGGAAACAATGCAGACTATTTTTTCTTTGGAAGACCCTTTCGTCAACCAACTAGGATTTGGAGCAGACGTAGGGGCTGGAAATGAATGGCAATGATTTGAACCTAAAATGCACAATCCATTGTTCCCGGCAAAATTGCTGGAATCCATCCTCTGGAAAACCGGGGTGTTTGGCACTGTTCCCACCAGATTATTATTAGAAAGATTGCATACATTTAGGCTCATTAATGCTCCTATTGAAACAGGAATTTCACCGACAAGCTGGTTGTCATTCAAGTAAAGTGATTCTAGCATCTGCAGATTACCTAAATTGCCCGGGATCGATCCACTGAGATTGTTATGACTGATATTGAGAGCAATCTGAAGAGAAGTTAATCGACCCAGTTCGACTGGAATGTTCCCCGAGAAGAAATTTCCACCCATTTGCAATTCTGTCAATCTAGCTAGTCCCCCTAAAGTTCTCGGTATTGATCCCGTGAACGTGTTATCTGATAGTTTCAGCAATTCCAGATTCACCAGCATGCCAAGCTTTACCGGAATAGAGCCATTAAACCAGTTCCTGCTAAGATCAAGCCTCTGGAGCTTTATACAATTTCCCAATTCCTGAGGAATGCTTCCAAAGAGCCTGTTGGATGATACATTGAATGCAGCGAGCTTTACAAGTTTCCCCATCTCGGGAGGGATTTGGCCGATGAAATTGTTATTCCACAAAAGCAGCCTCTCTAAGGTCGTAAAATTTCCCACTTCTGAAGGTATCAATCCTGAGAATCGGTTTTGATAGAGCTCAAGTGCTGAAAGGTTCTGAAGTTTTGCGAATTCAATAGAGAGACTTCCTGTAAAAAAATTATCTCCCAGCATTAGATGCTCGAGAGATTTGCAAGTTTTTAAGCCACGAGGAATGTTCCCGGACAACTTGTTTGATCCCAGGCTAAGAAAAATCAATTTCTGAAAGCTGCATAACTTTTTAGGTATCCTGCCCACAAGATTATTCATGGACATGTCGAGGACAATGAGGTTGCTATTAGCCCCAATAAATGGAGGGATGACACCTTCAAACATATTGTCGAAAAGTTGAAAACTCTCCAGGAACCTGAGATTTTGAAACTCAATTGGAATTGAGCCTGTCAAATAATTTATGGACAAATCTAGATTTTTAAGTTGCTTCAACTTTCCAAGCTCCTTGGGGATATTTCCATGGAGGAGGTTCTCGAAAAGATGAAGCAAACGAAGATTAGAAATTCGACCCAAGTCGTTTGGAATAACTCCTGTCAATTGATTTTCAGAAAGATCAATCTCGACAGCATTTGAACAATTACCGAGTTCTGGTGGGATTGTTCCATTCAATTGATTTGTGTAAATGTACAATCTTTTCAGCTGAGACAACTTCCCAATTTCTTTGGGAATGGTTCCCGTGAATGAATTTGCATGCACTGCAAGTAATTCCAAGCTAGTGAAATTACCTATTTGAGGAGGAATTTCACCCGTAAACAGATTTTTCCAAAGAATCAAGCTGGTGAGACTCTTAAGTTTTTGCAGCTCAATAGGAAAAAGACCCTCAAGCCAATTTTCTGCCAAACCCAGAACTTCCAAATTCTCACATTCACTGATTTCAGCAGGAATCTGACCGGATAAATAATTTCGACCTGCCCTGATAATCCTAAGAGTTTTCAGTTTCCCAATGGAAGAAGGAATTATTCCGGTTAGATTGTTGCTATAAATGACAAGCTCCTCAAGTAGAGTTAGATTGCCAATTTCCACAGGGATTTCTCCAAATAAATAGTTCTCACACAGATAAATCTTTCTGAGGGAAGTAATATTGCAGATTTGGGTAGGAAATTCTCCGTGGAATCTATTTGTGCAAAGGTCTAAAGTTTCTAGATTACGAAAACAATTAAAATCATCAGGAATTGGACCGGAAATGAAGTTTTTCGATATATTCACCTTGACTAAGTAAGGGAGTTTACAAATGATTGAAGATAAAGAACCAGACAAACTGAGGCCACTTAGACGAATCGAAGTCACCTTAAAATCAGCTAAACACCCTATACCCGTCCAATTGCAAGGATTTGAATCTGAAGAACTCCAGCTTTGAAGATTATGATAAGGGTCTTTAATGGAATTTTTGAACTCCAAGAGAATATTTCCCTCTTCATTTAATGATTGAACAAAGACAATTAGGCAACAAAAATGTAATACAAAAATCAAATGCTTTTGGATTTCCATATATGAGGATACAAATCAAGTAGGACTCAAACAACAACAACTATGCCTTGTGTCCCTATAAATTCGAGGTTGTGTTTCCAATTGAATATGGCCATGATTCTGCTGTGTATTGGAAGAGGAAACTTTTAAGGCATGTGTGAAACAACTATAACAAAGTGAAACAACATAAACTGTCCCAATAATGTAAAGTTACTTACATATACAGGACAATCATCAAGAAATTTCTCCAGTTGCTAACATAATTATTCAGAAATTCATAGCCAGATGTGCTTCAAGACTGGGAGAAAAGAAAAAATTCTGATGATCCTAAGAAGTCACAAAGCAAATATCAATATAAGTTCAAGAAAACTACAACAGTAAAATGGGATTTTATTTTTGAGCCAATGAAAGCATGGAAAACCAATATTCATATAAAAGAAGAAAAAGGGAAGTGATAAGGATGAGAGAGAGAGGGAGAGGGCGAGGGAATGTGACTGATTGACAAGGCAAGAAGCTGGAGATGAACTGTGAAAGTCACAATCCAAATCAGAAAGAATTAAAGAGTCAACCATTACTTTACAGTGAATGTGCAATTTGTGTGAGCAAATTCTGAAACTGCACTACTCATTTTCTTCTTCTGGTTCATCATTTTCTTCTGTTATTGGTTGAATTCTCGATGGAATCTGTTGCTTTATACTATGTATGTTGATGAATAGAGACAAAGATTCAGATTAAACATGAAAAATACTAGGATTAAAATATTTTCCATGGCTTCTAAGCCTTAAAATATGGGAAGAAAAATGAAAAATGAAAAATGGATTTGTACAACATTAATTGGTTTTTTTGCTTTTCTTTGCTTCTGCAAATGGTCTAAAATGTCATGATTTGCATGTAGACACTTAGTAGGTGAGTTCCTTAGTGGATGGATGAATTGGAATTATCTTTGTTGGGATCTGCCTACTTTGGTGACTTTGATGTATATTGGGTTGGGCAACCTAGGACAATTTGACATCAACTGTAATACTTGTATATATCTTATTAGGCTTTGTTTTCTAATAACCAAATAATTCTGATAAGGTTTGATCAATTAGTTGTATATGTTTATCAAATTGAATTTTTAGTAATATTTTTCAACATCATTGTGGACTTGATAAAAATATCGTTTGGCAACTTGTTAACATTTGGAGCGATGGATTCAACTTCAACGGTCAAGTCAATTTACTATTTACAAAAACAGAACATCTGCATAAATTTGCACAAGATGCTGAAATAATATATTCTCGCACCATCAAGATCCAAAAATAAATCCAGTCATGTCTACTTGAGAATTATTTTTCGACCGGTTTGTTTGATTCACTGTTGAAACATTTCAACACAATCAAATTTAGATCTTAATATCTTAAATTAGGTTGATAACTTGTGATTTTAAAATCTTTGTTATAAAAATAATAAATGATAATCAATTTAATAGAAAATTAAGTAAGATCTATAAAAAATGATGGTTTGAATCTCAACCCATATAAGGTCCTGAAGTTGGGAAGTTGAAGAACAACTACTGATGGTAAGTGCCACCACAATGTGCACCCCAGCACCAAGGTAGAGCACGAGACCAAACTTGTGATCCGTGGAAGCTATGCTTTCTCACCTTAACAAGAGTCGGAAGTGAGTCAAGTCTCAAACCTAAGAAATCTAGCTCAGAGTCTCCCAATAAAAGTCGACCTCATCAGACATCACCTGGACAATCGTTGAAGCCATGCAAAGTAGACGATTTAAACAGGTAAAAATGCACATATCGGACCCAGGAAAAATGTTATACCTTAAAACATGGCATAGTTAGGGGCTCACACTCTAAAGGGGCAAGGTAAACAATGGCCAGAGGCTGACCACTATTAGCTGATAAAGATAAAGTTGAGCACATGGTTGAGCTCATTAAAAGAGATGAGGTCGGGTTGTGTTGCCAAAACAATGAGGTTGGGTTCCATGCCGATAATTAGGGAAGACCAGAGATGTTGCTCAACGGCAACACAAGACAGAATCTACTAGCATGGCATAGCTGATTCTAAAAATCTAGGGAAGTGACAGTGGTATGTACAATATGCAATTCAATATGATGGTCACTTAATGTGACAAGAGCACTACCTGAGGATATCTGGTCTCCACGACCTTCATTTACTGCCCAAGTCATCTCACTCCAATCGAAAGCTTACCATAGCTCTATAGTACACACTTGACCATTGAAGTGGTCAGACTCCGCCTTCTTCCAGTGGCCGAGCTCACTAATTAGGTCCAGTTTTGCAAGTCTTCTGCTAGAAAAAAGGTTCAAGCAGTTGACCTTAAAGTGCAAACTAAGTTTCTCAATCCCCTAAAGTGCAAACAATATATAGAATGAGGGAATTAATGCAACCACATATCATCAAATGAGGATTTCTCTCTGATGAGACTACATTCTAAAGTTAATCAAGCTGCAACAATTCCTTAAAACTGTCTTTTTTGTTTTCATCTTCTACTTCATATCTCCCAACTATTTAGACCAAATTGAAGAATATTTTAATGCATTGTATCATGGAGATAGAACTTCCAACTAGTCTTTTTCACTATGAAGGAGAAATTACCATCCTTCAAATAATTTCTAAAAACATTGCCTTCCTCAACTTCCTATCCCTTCTTTTTTCATTAAATTTCACAATTTATCTGCTCAATATTAAATTTCCTCCAACAACTAGGAGATACCTTATGCAGTATGAAAGCAAAAAATCACTTCCATAGCCTATCAAGCAGCAGGCGACACTTCAATAATTGAATATATACAATGTTCTCATATGAAATACATAATATATATGTTGATTATACGCTGTAATAAGTGGTTTTGTTAAGCGGCTATAAGAAAGAAACCTCGCTGATTGGATCTTACAAGAGCTGCTCCCACATAGTAAAAACATCATAGTTCACAAGATTCAGCCGACAGTTAATAGCCTTTACAATCAAAGGATTTTTCCACACACCATGGAAAATTCCAAAAACTAAATAAAGAGTTTTTTTTGGACTATTACATATACTAATCAGTTATCCCATACCTCTTCTTCATTAACTGAATAAATGCATAGATCTTGCGAGGATCAGCCAGGGATTTGGAAACACTCTCTATTTCCATGCACCTCTTGCCCCATGCAATCAGCTTAGGACAGTATTCCTCAATGCTGAAATTGCCACAAATCTCATAGGCATAAAACCAGCAGTAGTAAGGGATGAAAGCCACATCTACAAACCCAAAGATTTCACCACCAAAGTAGGGTTTGTTTCCCAATTCTCCTTCCAACGCCTCGAGGCACTCTATTAACTCTTTCTTGCCCGATTCTTTCTCTTCTCCTGTCGTTGTCCATAGTTTTCTTCCAGCCCAAAATATCTGCATTTACACAAAGCATTGTAAACTACCACAATTTTATATGGCAACTTGTATGATTTCCGTAAGCTATGAAAATTCCATTTTATACTGTTTTACAACAGATCATACAAATCATCTATGGATAACAGCACTTCTGGAACAACTAGTTTTGTGCTCGTACAATGTACGGGCTTTGATATATGTAGGGTAATTTTAGCGTATCAAATATTAATGAAAAGCTAAATTGTTGTGAGAGTTCAGTTAGTTATTATCTAACATAATAATTAGTAACCTAAATTTTTTGTAGCCTAAATTTTTGTAATCTATTCTAGTAAGATTCAAATGAAAAGTTTTTTGTAGCCTAAATTTTTCCATGGAAGAAATTAATGGGTACAATATTAATCTTTCTAAGCTGTACAAACGTTAGACGATTTATGTTCGTGCTCTATACCAAAATATTTATAGTACCCACTAAACAAAGAAGAAAGTTATTTTGAACACTAATCGAGTAAACAATGGATTGCCTCTGGGAAAAAAGTTTCACAAATGAACAATAAACGGTGGATTGCCTAACAATCAATAAGAGATTCAAAGTCAAGGGGGTAGTGCCCCTCATGGGGGTTTGGGGCGACGCCCCCGACAGGGATCGATGGTCAGGTTGCGAGAGTCGAGGGGGCAGTGCCCCTCGTGGGGGTTCTGATTTGTAAACGATCTTTTGTAATTTTTTTTAATGGTTTTGAATTAAATTTTTAATAAGTGAAATTGTATTTAGTTTGTGTAAAATGTAAGCAAATGTTATCACTTAAATTTAAAAATAAGTGTTTGTAAATTTGGTTAATACTATTTTTAAATGTATTGTACAATTTTGAAATATACAAGATAGAAATGATTTTTTTCTATGTATTTATCGTACATCATTGTTTGCCGTAATAAAAAAAAGGGCCCGCGCATGAGGAGTGATGCTCCGCATTGTGCGGAGACTCTGCGGAGCAATGCTCTGCGTAGTGCGGAGCTGCTCCGCATTTGTGCGGAATTGTTCTGCACAGTGCGGAGCTCTCCGCACAACTGCAGAGTAGTGACTCCGAAATTTTTTTTTATTATTATTTGTTTTTTTTTTTTTTGCTGCAATGGAAAAAAAATAATTCTTAAATCTAATTCATATAATTTTCATAGGTAAGCTCGTTGCCATAGAAAACAACTTAATAGATTTACCATTTACCGACCAATCACTATCATACGAAACTTAGTTGCAATCAGTAATGTCGGAAAATAGCCATTGTAACATCCATCTGAACAATGTATTTGGAATATCCATTACAACAGTATGTTATGGAATTGTTGAGGCTTAAAGCAACTAACAGAAATTGAAGAAGGTTATTAATGCATATAACTCTATTCATAACTGGAAAAAAGATTCTTAAGAAAAATATTAACATATTTAACCTATCTGCATATGTGAAAAACTAATAGAAATACATACAACTGGCAAGCAAGTTCTATGGTCTAAACGAAATTTCTTTTCAATGTCTTTTGAGAATATAGAATACGCATACCTCGGGATGTCTATTCGAAAACTTCCACACAAGTTCAAATCAGGGAAATGTAACTTATATCGCATTTTTGAACCAGCTCTTACAACCCCCAGAAGGCCTATGGTCGATTTTAACTGAAATAGTTGTTGAGGAAATGTAACTTATATCGCATTTTTGTACCAGCTCTTACAACACCCAAAAGGCCTATGGTCGATTTAAACTGAAATAATTGTTGTAAGCTGAAGCAGAGAAGGCATGGGAGAAGTTGCAAACTGTAACGTATCTCTCAATTTTGTACAAACTATTACAATCCAGGATTTTTTTTTTTTGTTGCAGTTTTAATTGCTTTTTTGAACTCAACAATGGAACTGTGTGTGCAAAAAATCCTCGCAGTTGGTGGGTATTTGATGTAGCGAAGTTGGAATTGATGTTATCGGCAAAACGTGTAAAAGGAATTGCCATTTGTTTTTTGACCTCCTTCAGGAGCAAAGTAGGGATGTAAAGTCAACAATTGTGGGTATAGGTACAGTAGACGGTGGCTTGTCCAAGAAGAAGTCAGATATTCAGACGCAATAGGGTAGAAAAAAAAGGGTAGAAATGGGATAAACAAAAAGCTTCACAAATGAACAGTAAATGGTGGATTCCCCCTTTTAAGATAGTAGGGATTAGGGGGAGAGATAACTTTGCACATTGTTCTTTACAAGTAAAAATTTGTTCTTTTCATCTATTTCAGGAACTTCCAAGTCCGACTTCTAGCTCTCCTTTAACTTATTTCATTTATCCAACGAAGGAGTTTGCCTAAACTTATACATATATAGATCAAGAAGTTTTTTTTTTTTTTGAGTTTAGAACATAATAAAAAGTAATTTATTTTGCAATAGGCGGCTAGCGTGGAAAATATGTAGCCTACTTAATTTATAATTGACCCATAAAGTACATTACATATCTTTACTAATTTAACAACATTACAGCTCATATCCTGACCCTAATATCATCAAATAATTAGAAAAAAATAATCTTACAAATAAATTTATCTTAATTTAACAATTAAAAAAGCCTACTTTTCTAGCATAACTTACTTTCTAGAAACTGACTTTTATGCACAGAAATATGCTCTTAACTGATGGCAGTAAACAGTAACTAAATTAAAAAGAAATAATACAGAAGGAAGAAGAAAATATATGGATTGTACCTTGTCAACATAATAAGCCCAGAATAAAGCTTGAGCTCTCTGGTAATAATCAGAAGGCAACAATGGCCTATCCTTCCAGATCTCATCTATGTACTGCACAATTATGAGCGATTCACAAATGGGTTTTCCATTGTGAATCAAAACAGGAATTTTCTTGTAAACTGGGTTCATCTCAAGTAGAAGTGGACTCTTGTTCCGCAAGTTCTCCTCCCTGTATTCATATGGAATACCCTTCTCCGCTAGGGCAATTCTAACCCTCATTCCAAACATACTTACGTATGTGTCCAGAAGAACAACCTCGTCATTCGCCATTGTTATGAAAATTAAGGTTTGGACAGGGAACACCGTGTATAAATAAGAAGATAAGGTGCTGTCAATTTTTCTGGGGGTTTATTACGAAAGGCCCAGAATCTTTAACGCCTATACTTTGGCTTTAATTAGCAAGGTGCTGAGGATGTAGGGTTATAAATGACACATTTCGTCTCTAATCTTTTACCGTAATTACAGTTTTACCGCAACCTTTTTCTCTTTACACTCTTACCATCAACTTTTAATCAATTAGTACAATCAGTCCCTGTTGACGACTTCATTCAAAAACTCAGTTAGGAGGGCATAAAAAAATCAATTACCCTTAAACTAAATGAACATGAAAAAGACAATAATATAAAGTTACAATCTTTTTAACTAAAACATTTGAGACCCTGCCACCACCTCCACTTCGACTCCCAAACTCCATGACCACTCACCATTGCCACCGCCACCAACGCAACCTCAACAAGTTGCTGGCACCACACCATCAGGCCTGCATCTCCAAGTCTAAAACCTCAACTTCGCCATTGCGACCACTTCCTCCCCTCCATCTCCATTTGCTGCAAACTCTATTAAATATGCTTGATTGCCACGACACTAAAATTTTGACACCTTACTATAATTTTGAGATGTCAAAATTTTAAAGATGGGAATGTCAATCGGAACAACTCATCTAGACTCCATTGTTGCACCCTAACACCGAAGCAATCAATGACATATATTAAGAAATAACAACAAAATCTTCAAGAGGTAAATATAAACCAAATAGAGGAAACATGCGTTTTTCCCTTTTTTTTTCCTTTCTCAACTTGGCAGTCTCTATTTTAAAGTCAATATTTTCATGTCAAAAAGAAAACACCAATACTTAATCCAACAAAGGTTGAACATTAGTGTTGTAGTGAATTGGAGATTGGCAAGGGTTAAATTATATTTTTCTTGTTCATTTATTTTAACGGCAACATTGTCTTTCTACACTAGTAACTTGGTTTCTGGATGGAAAGCAAACGAATTGCACAAATTAATGAAAGGTTGAGGGTAAGAACGCCAAAAAAATGGTTGGGGATAAAGATGCAACTGTAGTCAAATACTGGGGACAAAATGTGCAACTCTCCCAAGAAAATAAGAGAAACTTTTAACTGAAATGTCTCCTTTTAAAAAATACAACGAGGTTAAACTTCTGCAACTTCATTATTCAGGTGTTCACATTACTCTCTGTATCATGTTCATCATGAGAAATCAAATGCTAATGCAAATCCTCAACAAGAATTTACTCCAATAATTGTTTCAAATACAAAATTCAATTATAAGAACTCCTTTATATACATATAGTCCAAGATGCAAACACTCTGTGTGAAAAAATAGAGGTGTCAATCTCAACTTTACACGTGCTTACAATTGCTGTGGTTTTTCGTATCTTTCACAGCCACATAATAACAAAATGGAACCACCTCACAGAATCAGAAAAGATCTCAAAGATTACTGCACAGAAACAAGATGCCACTTGTCTGAAACGCCACCACCCTCAGTGAGGAAGAGAACTTGAGGACATGAAGTTACAGTACAAACCAAGGTATCGTGTGAAACTGCTGGTTATACAGCTTTACTTATTTGAAGTTTGAGATGAAACTAGCGGGAGCGATTCAGCAGGCTGGTCTGAATTCACAACTCGAGAAGCTTCCTTTTTCAACTTGTGGTTATTGTACGCAGCTACCCCTACAATAGCTGCATCAAGAGACAGTCTTAATCAATACATCAATGTGTACTATTCTCCTTTGAGAAGTTATCATAAATTCTTTTGCTCATTTCTCAAAGTACAAAACCAATCAAAGCTCCAAAATACTGCTAAATTAAGCAAATCTATAGGATAAAATGAACGATAAATTGTTAAACATAACAATATCACACATATGATGGGAATGTAACTATGCAGCAGATTGGTTTGTCAAAAAAGGTCTCCAAGATAGAATCAAAGAATAGTTCAAGCAAAGGGAATTAACTGGGCATATCACTGGAATTCTAAAGCTGGGGAGAGGTGGACTGCCAAATGTCAGAATAAAGAAATTAGAATAGTAGGCTAACTGTACAATTTTAGGTAAATTTTTGCATTATTTATGTTCTTTTCAATTGAAATTCCAGAATAGAAAGCATACAATCACCACCCCTAAAATCCCCCTTATAAAATCATGGAGGTAAGGCTACCATGTCCCACTTTGTTGTACTGAATATTTCAATATATGCACAAGGCACGAAACAATGCCAATTCCTCGCTTGGAATTAGGAAAGGAGGCCTATTACAACTCTCACCTATGCCCCCCCCCCCCCCCCCCCCCCCCCCCCCCCCCCCCCCCCACCCCNTTGCACATAATTAAAAAATAAAAAAGGAGAGTGGAAATAGAAGCCTCAGATCAAAGCAAGGCAATCACCAGCTATTTTTGTGGTAAACGTGAGGGAAACATCACAATGCTACATTATTTGCCAACTCGGAATAGTATAAAAGAACACTTTGGAGGGAATAGAGATACTCACCAATTGCATAACCAAACAGATTGATAAGTGTCAGCTTTGTATCTGCAAAAAGAATGGCCGATAGTAGAACTACAACCCAATCCTTGACAACTCCTGCCACACGAATAGTCAAAGCACTTGTATGCGAGATGACAAGAAAAACTGAAAGATTGAGGGCAAAAGTACAAAGAGAATTAAGAGTCAGGACAACAGGTTTGAAGTTCCAGGTCCCCTGTGCATCCATCTTCGACTTCTCTAGAAAGATCCAGGGAATTAAGAGGAAAATAGCACTGCACAATGAACCAAAATTTTAATATTTGAGCTCAAAATAGATTAATGGCAGAGGTTCCAATACTTTAAAAGGATAAATTACATGCCTGCAGGGGCTAACATAGTACATCACAGATACAGGGTTCAATTTAAGACCCTTCCTTTTCACCAAAATCTCCATAAATATTAGCCTCAAAGCTTCTCCAACAACACCTCCCATTTGGTAAAAAACACCGACCCAGCTGATATTTACTTCCCCATATGAAGCTACCAGTACACCGAAACTAATCAATGACATTATAAGAAGCATCCTGCAGCTCATTATTTCAAGTCCAGCTACTACACCAAGAATGAAAACTGCAACTGGCACTGAAAATGTCATCGAGAATGACATTAGTGACACATTGCTACAGAAATATGGTATAGACAAGCCAAATCAATTTCAACCAATAAAACAACTAGCAGTACTTACTGATTGCTTTCAACATTTGAGCAAATGCAACAGATATATACAGGTAAGCAGTGTTTCCAAGCCAAAGAGTCATAGCAAACATAGCACCAATTGGGATGACTGAAGATATATATCTGCATATTCAGAACTCAACTGGGTAAAGTAATTCTTGTAATCATAATGATTAAAGAAAAAAAGTATAGGACCAAATCTAATGCAAGCAAACAAGTGGACATGTTGAAAAGTAATGAGGAAAAATGAAAAATCTCAAGCTTGAAACTCCTTCACTTCTTTTCCTTTTAGCCCAGCCGTAAACATTTAAGATGTTGCTAGCATCACACGAATTTTCTTTTTGTTTCATTTTCCAGAAAAAGGTAAACAGTGATGTATTCTATTAATGCACCAAAAAGGTCCAATCCACAGACGAAAACTTTATGAATTTTATACATGGTATATCATCTCACGGCTTTGAATATCAGACATAAGATTACTCACATTTCCAAAGTCATCCCTTCTTCAACTTTCATAATCTGCGAAAAAATGAAAATAAAAATATTGCCAGAAATAATATCCATAAATAGCAATAGCCAAAAAATGACGTTTACCATCATTTTATCATAATTACCTTGAAAACTTTAGTAAGCATAAAACACAATACAGAGGAGAAGATCATGTGAAGTAGGGTCAATCCAAGAGGATATGGAAAATTAATTTCCTCTGACGACAGAACCCACTGCAATTTAATAGAATATTGAAGTAGATTAGCATGTGAATAAATTTTTCCATCAACTATCTTTCCAAAACATGCAAACTAATGGCCAGAAACAAACAAATTGGCAATGGCAATTGATTATTTTCATAATTTTAAACTTATTTTCCTCTTTTACAGGAGGCAACGAAGAAAGAAGAAGAAAAAAGGCAACTAGAATGGTTCTAAAGCTGAACCTCTAGCAACATCTTCCAGGCAAACAGAGAAGAATCTCTTGCACATGCACTCTATGCATGCATTCCAAACATTAAAATGCTTCACTCAGATCATGCATTACAAACAGAGTAAATGTTCTACATAACAAATACGAAGCCAATGGAGCAAAAAGTTTTACACGTCCCCAAAGACCAACTAGGGGATATAATCCGTGAAAGTAAAAATGATTACAGGATCCCAGAGGCAATTAGAAAATAAAATGATTTCAGCGACAGAAGAGACCGTAAAATGTCTAAAACTTGTTAATGCAAAGCTTGGAGTAATCACCAAAGAATAGAGATAGTAGAAATTCTTATTTTGGAATAGAAGTATACTGATATGACTATGAGTATCTATATTGCAGTGGAGGACATAAACACATCAAGGAAGGACTTTCCATCAATAGGTAACGGGAAGAATAAAAAAAATGCTGACAAACAGAAGGAACAATGCAGTCAAGAATTTCCTTAACTAGTTTAACACACCACCATTTTATTCACACGTCTACAGAGAAGAATCCCATGGTGCACCAAAAATTATAAGTTTTTCCATTTTTTCTTGTCAAGGTACAACTCTACCTCACTCACTAACAAAATCACATTTAGAATGAGGACAACATCTTTAAAATGTCTATTCCCAAAATTGTCAAGATATACTCCTTAGTTGCAGTTGAGTCAGCATGTCATTTGGTGGCTTTCCTAAAATCACCAAGTCATCTCAATAACACGTGGTTCTTATGTCTTAGTCAGTACTAATATCCTACATTAATGACTCACTTAATTCCTTCGATTATCCTACTTTAACAGTTATGATCACCATAGTTAATCATGTTCAAGTACTAATGGATAAAGTGACAACCAAAAACTACTTATGAATAAAATCAATTTAACCACATAATTTGATTTTTCAACTTCTAAGACATATCAGCACGCCGTGCCAGGGAAAATGTCAAATTCGTGATGCCAAAACGAACGGACATTCGGACAACATGCTAAACTGCCTCCTTTTTATGCTTAGTTTAGCTGGGTCAATAAATCAAACACTTAACATAAACTTCTCCTCTAATCTTAGTATCGCAGAAAACTAAGCAGAAAGCTATAACCAGGGTCATTACAGTACTTGGATAAATTTACAATTATAACTTTTTTGAAATAAGCAATTGAGAACAGCAACAGCACCTTGTTGAAGAAGATCTGGCCACTAGAGAGCGCGATATAGAGCAAAATATAGGCGTAGGTTACGAACCCTACTCCAACCCATTTACTATTTCGATCCGCCATTGCTACCCTGCAAGTCAATTCACATGCAAATATTCAAAAATCTAACAAATAACTCAAAAATCAAATGATGAAAGGGTTTCTCCTCAACGGGGAGAGTGCGAAGTGTGCACTATGCTAGAACAAGTGAGGCTCGACCTGTGGAAGATAATTACATATATAAAACCGACAATGATTGCTTATAAATGCAGTTTGCTGGAACGGGGTCTAGAATCAGGAGTGAATGGTAGAGTGACGAAGCATATGTCCTTCACCTTTATCATTTTCCGCTTTTTGTCGAATTTGTGTGTAATATTACTTGTACAATGGATGGCGTTGGCAAAAAAACTCGGAGGCTTGGACGGTTCGAGCTCGGTTCGAAAAAAGTCCGAGTCGGGCCCGGCTCGATCGAGCCCAGGCTCGGGCCGAGCCCCACTTTGGGGAGTCGGCTTGAGCCCGCCGGCCCGTGGCCCGGGCGAGCCTACTATTTAAAAAAAAAAAAAATTGAAGGAGCAAGCTGCCTGCACAGCTTGCTGTAGCAATGCTGCTGTGCGCAGGCAGCTTGTTGCTTGCTGCCTGCACAGCCAGGCAGCAAGCTGCTGCAGGCAGCTTGCTGGAAGCTGCTAGAGGCAGGTTGCAAGTTGCCTGCATGTAGCACAGGGGAAAAAAAAAATTAAAAAATTCGAGCCGGCTCGACCCGTTAAGGTTCGGGCCGAGCCTCGTTTTTTTTGGTCGGGCTCGGCTCGGCTCGGGCAACAAAAAGTTCGGTCCAAAAAAGCTCGGGCTCGACTGGCTCGTTGACACCGCTAACAATGGATTAAACTACTTGTACAATGTAATATTTTTATCGAATTAAACTACTTGTACAATGAATTTGTGCGTGAGGTGTATAGAATTCAAAAATAATCTTTCAAATCAATGAACATAATGTCTGTCAACTCACACAATGTCAAATTTATTGTCAAATTCATTATACATGTAGCATAGTTCAATATTATTTTATTGAATGACGTGGTTGAAAAAAATACGCGGAAAATATATTTTAAAAATAATAGTGTCCAAACAAGAAATACTTTTGATCACACATTTCACCCTTGTACAGTTGAAATAAATATTAAGTTTTAATAAATTTTGATAAAAATTGATAAAATTGTGATTGAAAAACTGATAAATTATGTATATCATGGAATGAGTAGTTGAAAATAAATTTGAAAAAAAAATAAGTTTTGAGAAATGGGAGACAAACATGGGTTTCATGGGGCCAAAAACTTCCAGCCACACATTTAATCAATTTTTATTAAAATTTAATGAAAATTTGATTTTTATTCAAATCAAATATGGACTTAGCTCTTGCTTATAAATCTCATTAAATGTGAGGTTGAAATTAATTATTAATTTTTATCAAAATTTATTAAAAATCTAATTTTAACCTCCACCAAACAATGACTTAATGTTTCTCCGCGTGACTTCTCAACACAAGGCTAGTATTGATATCAAGCTATGAAAGAATATTTCGTACAGAAAACGTGAGTCATGCTAAACCTCTATTTGTCTCATTTTAAAATAAAAATCTTTAATTCTAGTACTCATTTTTAACTACGCATTCACACAATAAAACTTTTTATATATAAACTCAAAATTTTTCTTATTTTTTAACTATACATTCTAAAAAAAAAAAAAAATACTTTTCGAAATATACTTTTTAAAAATAATGACCATCAAATAAGAGCTAAGTCAAACATAAATTTTAACGCGTATAAACTGCTATCAAGTCTTACCTGCTATAAGTCATATTCTAGGCATCATTAAGGAATCCCTACTTAGAAATTGCAACCAATTGGTATAAATTTGAACTGTCCAACCAACTTGCTACCATTTCCAAATAAAGTTCACTTGTAGCACGGGCGTGTGTCATGCCTAGGAATGCACAATTTTGTAACTTCTCTATTTTATTCATTGTAGTTCCCAACGGGCAAAAGTGACAAGATTGCATTAGTTTGGGAAAACTTAAATAAGGGGCAAGAAATATAAAATAAAGAATGAGTTTTTGAATAGTGATTGATGTAAAGAATGTGTGGTTAAAAAGTAAGAAGAATTTTTGGGTTTATGTGTAATATTATTTTATTTGAAGAATGTGTGGTTAGAAATGAGTACTGTAGAAAAATGAGAATGAGAATGAGATAAAAAATGGGTGTCAAACAGGG